CCAGGATGGGGGCTTTACCCCTCTCTCAATGTGGGGGCTGCTAACTCACCAAGGGACCTCCCTCCCTCCCCTCTGCCTCCCCATGTACTCCCTGCACTGTGACCCCCACACCTGGGGGGGCAGGCAGACCAAGAGCCCCCAGGAAGCACAGCTTGGGTGAAGTTCTTGCCTTTCTTAGCTTTAGGGGAAGCCGCAGGAAGGAGGGGAGCAGGGCATTCCCTTTTACCCCACTTCCACCCCCATTCTCCAGGGACTCCTTTGCCTCCCAGGCTGGAAGCTGTGCTGAGGGCGTGGAGACCTCCCCTGGGCTCTGGGTTAGCCATGCTCTTCCCTCCTCATGGGTAGAGGTCTGGGGCCCCCATAGCCTCCCCTGTCCTGCTCTGTGCCAAGTGGGCCTGGAGCTGTGCAAAGCCAGCTCTGTCCCCACAGCTTGGCTTGCTGGGACCCAGGCGAGCGTGTGTGCAGGTAACTGTAACAGGAAAATGTAAGGGTGACAGGAGGAACCAGGTGTATGTCTGCTGGTGTCTGGGCTTGTGTGCAAGGTATATGTGCGTGTTTGCGTGTGTGTGTGTGTGTGTGTGTGTGAGAGAGAGACAGAGAGGGGGGAGGGGGCAGAGCCCTCTGCCCTGGTATTTTCCTTAAACCGACAGTGAGAGGGAGGACCCTGGTGGAGAGAAGCTCTTTGGGTTCTCTCTGGGGTGGAAGCCCTCCTTCCTCCTATCTGGATGAGGAGACTCCATGCCCCCTTTTCAGGGTGCAGAGCAACCGTGTGGGTGGTTGTGGGGTTGGGGGCTGCTGCTGGGCCTGTTGTCTGCTGGATTGAGGAAGGGGAAGACTTGGTGTGGGCCTCTTCTCTCCCTGTGCCTGGGGCTGCTGAGTAGGGCACCAGAAGGTTCTTGGTCACTCACTGTGGTGCCGCAGTCTCCCCTCAAGCCTCCCTCTTGTGTCTACTGGAAGCAACAGAGGGTCCTAGGGCTCCAAAACTGGAAGCACAGGCTCTGGGAGGAGGAAGGGCAAGACGGTGCTACATCAAAGTTCCTTCTCTGGGTGAGGGCTGGGATACCCCTCCCCTGGCTTTATTCATCTCTGGGTTTTCTTGTTACCTCTCTGTGTCTCTCCCCCTCCCCCCATCGTGACTCTTAGTCTGATCAGGCCCTGCAGCTGACTTCCCCCCCCCCCCAGGGCTGGGATGGAACCCAGGGCTTCTTAAATGCTTGGCAAGTGCTTTACCACTGAGCCACACCCCCAGCCCCCTCAGGTGGCATCCTGCCCCATTGCACACTTGAGCCTTGCAGGTGAGGGCGAGGACCCCAGGAGGGTAGCCTATTAAGCAATCGGGTCTGCATGAGTGTCCTGTCAGTGGCTCACATTTGATTTGGGAACATGTAGTCCAGATCAGAGGTTGACAAGCAGCTGGAAGGAGCCCCTGCCTGATCCGTTCCTTTTCCTTTCTGTCTCATTTAGGTAAGGGCAGGTGGAATGTCCTCTTGGGCCACTTGGGGACAAGCTGGACAGAGGAAAAATATTGGGGAGCAGCCTTGGGGGTGGTGCTGATCCACTCTGTTTTCTCTTGATTTCAAAGCACAATGTGGATCTGGGGACCAGAGGTCAGGGACACATCCTGTTGCAGGGACTGTGGTTGGGAGGGGGTGCCACCCCAAGAGGAGTCAGCAGCCTATTTCACTTAGCTGGACTTCCAAAACAAGGCAAGCCAGCTCCTATTCTTCCCATCTGAAGTCCTAAAAATAGGGGATGCTTTCTCACACACCCCCCGAGAGAGGAGGTACTCTCACACTGGTGCTGAGGGGACCCAGAGTAGCTGGAGCCTATGTTCCTTCCCAGAACCTTCCACCCTTAGAAGAGCACAGAACCCCAAGGGCTGCGTTGAGCCCCTGATCTTTGACCTTCATAGAGGTCTTGTAGCCAGTCTAACCCAGGAAAGATAATACCTGGGAACATCAGTTTTGTGGACCAATCCTACCGTGCCCAAAAGCCCACCGTGGGAAGTGTGGATTCTTCCAACAGTGCTTCCTGCCTCCCCCGCCCCATCCCTCCAGGGAAAACTCCTTTATTGCTTCATTTCTGCCTTTTCCCCTTCACACATGCACTTTTGGGCCTTTTTTTAATAGCTGGAAAAAAAACAAAACACCACCCCACAAACCCGTATTTAAAAAGAAACAAGTGACCCTGTGAAATTCGCCTGTCCAAGCATTTCATCTGTTTGTATGTGTGTGTGTATGCGTGCGTGTGTGTGAAACCAGTCACTCATCTTTTTATATGGGGTTGTTGTCTTTTGGGTCTATTTGGTCCCCTCCCTCATGGGCTTGTGCTTGGGATCAAATCTTTCTGGCCTGTTGTGATTCTGAACATTTGACTTGAACCACAAAAGTGAAACTTTCTCCTGGTGACTCAAATAAAAGTATAATTTTTACCTGCGGATTTGGTTTCGTCTTTGGCTCTGAGGTGCTGGTGTGTGTGTCCTATGAGCTTGGGGCCATTGGCCCCTGTGCCCACTGGGATTCCTGCTGGCCTGTAGGGAGAGAAGGACTATCTGGAAGCCAAGGGGCAGTTTGCTACCCACCCGGGCTCTGGCATCTGCTTCCTGCTGTGGAGAATTTCCTTCTTCCCAGCCTACTCCTGGCTTTTCCACTCATCCCTCTCTACCTGACTTGGTGACACTGCCTGAGCTCTTGGTTTCCTCCTCATACTGTCCAGCTTCCTTAGTGATGACTGTCTCCCCACCAGCCAGTGCCCCTCCTGGCAGATAATGGGTCAAATTCATCTTTCAATCCCTGGTACCAGTCCAGGGTCCCGCATGGAGCTGCTCAACAAATACTGAACTAACAAATGAGCCCTGGAGCAATTCTAGTTCTAGGAGGTGGTAAGACCTCAGCATATGTTTGAAGAGTAAAATGACAGAGGTTGTCTCATGGTGGTACAAGACTTGGGATAAAACTAAGGTGGCCTGGCATCTCAAGGCCCTCTTCTCAGAGCCATAGGAAGGTGATTTTTAGCATGTTCTCCTTTGATCTTCCTTAGAGCCTGTAAAGGAAGTAACTACTTTGATGGGATGCTGGGTCTCACACAGCCTCTGGTGGTGAACCCTGTGCCCCTGTCCCATGAGCTACAATTAAAGGCAATACTGATACTCATCCCTAAATGAGGTAGCTGCCTAATACATTCCCAGTAGGAGGAAATGAGTTGGGAAATCTGGTTTGTTGGCTGGATCCCTCTGCACAGCTGCAGTGCCCCCTCCCCTGGTTCTTCCCCCGGAGGTTTTACCTTCAGAGTGAATGAAGGAGGCTGTAGGTTTTGGAGGGCATCAGTGCTGTTTTCATCCTCACAGAGGCTCTGTGCTCTGCCTCCTGGGGATGGGCCAAACTCCTCCAAGGAGGAGTTTCTAGATCCATCCCCAGATGGGAATAGACCCCCTTTTGGAAGCAGCCTAAGTTCCTGAGGGGGGTTACCAATGTCTTAACCCCCAAATTTTTTGAAAAATTGGAGAGTAGGCCTCAGAGATATCCCAGGGACACTTTAATAGGAAATCAAGTTATAAAAAGGCATAAAGCAACAAAAGTCATAACTGGCTGAGACAGGAAGATCATGAGTTTAAAGCCAGCTTCAGCAAAAGCAAGGTGCTGAGCAACTCAGTGAGACCCTGTTTCTAAATAAAATACAAAGTAGGGCTGGGGATGTGGTTCAGTGGTCGAATACCCCTGAGATCAATCTCCAGTACCAAGATAAACAATAACAACAACAATAATAATACATTAATCCTTTTTCCTTCAGAAGAAATGACTTGAATTTGCTTTTCTAGACACTTATTACGTAGGGATGAGCCTGAGAATTTTTCAGTGTCCTCTCTGTGGATAACACCATGTTGAGCTTTGAAGAGAAAACAAAGCGGTGACAATGGCACAGGAGTGAAGGGATAGATGGAGAGACCCGTGTTCATCCTGTAAATGGAGCCATGTGAATAAAATGCACCACAAATGGGGATGAGCAGTCAGGGTCCAAGGACTGCCCAGACCAGTAGCAACCAGTCTGGGGAGGAGAGTGTGGACTCTGTAGTCTGTGAGCCTGGTGTGAGTCTCAGCCCTGCTGCTACTAGACTATTCAACATCAGGGAAGCTCCCAGCCGTGCATAAAAGACTTGAAGCAGGTTGAAATTAAACCTTGCAGTGCAGTATCTGCCACAGTGTAGGACTCAGAAGCTAGCTCCATCCCTAGGGATGCCATCTGAGACTCACATGAGACCATTGTCCACGTCCCATCCACATTGTGGTGACCTTCTGAACTTGTCAGTGGACCACCCATTGCTAGCCATTATTTTTCTGAGATAATTTGCCAGAGATGTGAGAGAAAAAAGGAAGCAGGAGAATCCATTCTCAGGTGATCTGGATAAAGTTCCTATCCCCTCCCGGCTCCCCAGCAGGTAAACTCCATAGAGATACCATGTATTTAAATGCAATTAACATTTCTGTACAAAGTGGGTCTGGGTTCCTGGGAAGAAAGTGAGCCTCTTAAGTTCTGCCTGGTCTAATTCTAGCAGTTCCCTGGTCACCCACCCCCGGGCTTTGTGATTGGTTGACTGTGGTGTGTGTGTGTGTGGGGGGGGGTGTAAACTGCTGATGGAGCCACAGCATCCCTTAGTCTCAGGTTCCCAGGAGGGGGAAGGGACAGGAACAAGGGAAGAGGAGCCATTTCTCTGCACGGATCGCAACCTTGGCGCTCACAGCTCACGTTTCACAAAACCTAGAGGCCTTTTTGGCCTAGGACTGCACAATGCTGGATATTTTCATCCTGATGTTCTTTGCCATCATAGGCTTGGTCATTCTGTCCTACATTATCTATCTGCTCTAGTAGCCGGATTTGCTGCCGGGAGCCTGCGAGAGAACAGCTCAGAGGGGAAGAATGGAGCTGAAGGGCCGAGCATCCTGCTTGCTGACGCACCGGTGGATTTTTGCTTCTGGTCATTATTTTGGGTATTGATTCAAAAATGAAATGAAAAGAGAGCTTGTTTTCCTATTTATTTCTCAGATGCACGGATGCAGCATTTCTTGGACTGCTCTGAAAAGAATAAGAAACACAAGCTTCTTTCTTTAGAGCCTAATTTAAAATGTGTTTTTTGAAATTAAAAATAAACCCAGAATGCACAGGATTTTAAAATAGGATGGGCTGGAGTGACGTGAATGGCAGGGAGGAACTATCCTTTCCTAATTTCCTCTTCAAGTTAGGTGCGCAGCCAAGTTGTACGTTTTCTCCAGGCAATTAAAGGTAAAACGATTCTATGTGCCAGCAGAGTAGTTTACAACCACACTGGCATAATTGTATTAATTAATTCATTGATGACTCGTTCTTATTTGATGATAAGGTAACAAATGGATTTACTTGGGGTGGGGTTTGTGTGGGGGGGAGATGTCCATTTTTCCCAGCTGTGGAATCTGGCAGGGAGGAGGGAGGAACTCCAAATCCTTTTCCTGGTCTGACCAGTGGTTGAGACCTTTGCTGCTGTTCCCATCTGAGCCTTTTTGTTTCTGGTTTCCCACAGCTCCTGTCTCCAGTCCAACAAGAGGCCTCTTATCAACAACAGCAGCCCTGCTGCCCAGCAGACTTCTTCCAGAGCCTTCCGGACATGGTTAACCCCTGGCAAACAAGGGGCTTTGTGAGGCAAAGGCAGAGGCAGAGGCACTCACTGGGACATCAGGAATTCATGGGCATGGCTGGCAGATGCTGTATGCGTTTGAGCTGTAGAGAGAGCATGGTGAGAGGGTTGGGGATGTGGCTCAAGCGGTAGCGTGCTCGCCTGGTGTGCCTGCGGCCCGGGTTCGATCCTCAGCACCACATACAAACAAAGATGTTGTGTCCGCCAAAAACTAAAATAAATAAATAAATATTAAAAAAAAAAAAAAAAAAAAAAAAAAGAGAGCATGGTGAGAATACAGAAAGTTGAAATGTAGACTCATTAAAGTGGAAAACTGCTCAAAAATCCATCTGGGTAGCCTTTCCTTAGGTCTAAATGCTACTGCACAGGAAGCTGAAATACCTTCTTTCCTTTCACCATAAACAGGCGTTCCCTTTTAAGTTCAAGAGCAAGTTCAAGTTGCCTGTCTTATCAGTGTTTTTACAGATTTCACAATCTGGGGTTGTGTGGTTTCCCGTGTCTCACTCTCTGGCTAGAAGAAATTTGTCATTTGAGTTTTTAAGATTTATTATTTCTTCCCTATTTCATGCCATCTGAGCCCCTAGCTTTTTAATTAAAAATTGAAATGGATAGAAAGTTTTTATTCTTTATTCCTGTTTATAAATTATTGAAACAAAATGGCTGTACTTATCTTATTTAGGAAAAGTCTCTTACCCCAAAGTGAGTGGTTTTGTTTTTGATTGTTGAATGTTTCCTTTTTGGGGAAAAAAAAAAAAAAAAAGAAACTGTCAACATATTTCCCTGTTCAATTAGGATTGAATAAGCTCATTTACTCATTTTGGCATTAAGATAGAATTGGTTCCCCAATCTGTAGTGTCTATTCTTTGAAAAGTCCAACATAATTGTTCTACATTTGATTTTCCTTTCTATCTTAAAAATAAAGGAGAAATATTAATAGTTTTTGTAATAATATTGTGTTCAATTGCTATGTTTTTAAGAGAAATAAAATTGAAACACTGTATGTTACAATTAAAATGGAAAACTTGCATTTTAAATCCTGGACAAAGTTGCGTGTGACTCCAGTAATCTCAGCTGTTCTGGAGGCTGAGGCAAGAGAATTGCTTGAGCCCAAGAGTTCAGGGCCAGCCTGAGCAACAAAGTAAGACTCCCACCTCTTAAAAAATAATAATGCCAAGTATGGTGACACACACCTATAATCTCAGGGCCTTGGGACGCTAAGGCATGAGGATTGTAAATTCAAGGCCAGTCTCAGCAATTTAGCAAGACTCCGTCTCAAAATAAAAAGGGGCTGGGGAAGTAGTATATGGTAGAGTATCTCTGGGTTCAATCCTCAGTACTAGAATTTTTTAAAAATAAATAATAAATAATCAGAGTAAAACAAAATAAAGTTCTGAACAAGAAGAAAACACTGTTATCTTGTCAACATATTATCTGACCTTCAATATTTCATTTAAACTCTAGGGCTTTAGTTTATTCTGTCAGATGAAAGAGTTAGACTAGAAAATTGATAATATGCCTTCCCATTTTAAAATTGTAGAATTCTTCTAAGAGGTATTGTCATTGGAAACTACCTTAGTGAGAACAGAATTTTCATAGAAAAACAGTAATTTATCAGCAATCCCTTTCTACTCACTCTCTCTAATATGACATTTTTTTAGTACTGGGTATTGAACCCAGGGGTGCTTTACCATTGAGCTACATCCCAAAGGTCTTTTTTATTTTGAGACAGGGTCTTGCTAAGTTGCTTAAAGTCTTGCTAAATTGCCCAGGCTGACCTTGAACTTGCAATCCTCCTGCAAGTTCAATCCCAAATTGCTGGGATTACAGACATATGCCATTGCATCTTGCCCAATATGACATTTTATAATGGCAATTCAATTGGAAAAGTAATTTTTTTTTGCACCAACAGGCACATTTTGAAGAGGAAATGGCAGTATTTATTTACTCCAATTATATATATATTTAATAATTTGCCTAAGCTGTTTTTAAAAAATATTAAAAAGTATAATTCTATATGGCAGTATGTAACAAAAAGATGAGCAATTGATAGATACGCTAATACAAGAAGCGTGGTTCTAGGGGCTGGGATTGTGGCTGAGCTGTAGAGCGCTCTGCCTAGCACGGGCCAGATCCGGGTTCAATCCTCAGTACCACATAAAAATAAAGGCATTGTGTTGTGTCCATCTACACCTAAAAAAAATAAATAAATATTTTTTAAAAAAGAAGCATGGTTCTCTCTGAATATTGATAAACTCAGGGATGACTGTCAGTGGGGTCCTGGACATTTCGCACTAGAATATTCCTCTGACTCCTTGGCATAAACATGTATTTCAAATTGTAATTTTCTACTTCAAGCCCAGATAGCAACTATACATCCTTACCTAGGAAATGCCAGTATTTTGGAGGAATCCAAAGTACACAGTTAATTATGATGGTTAAGTCTTCATAGTATAGTCTCTAACCAAGCTTACTCTGAAGTCTTTTATAAGATCAAGGTTCTTCAGTCTGTATCCATATAAAATTCAAACAAATAAATTCAGTGGGGGATAAAAAGCCAGTTTTAGTCATACACCAGTTATATTATAAATCTGGTATTAGATGCTTAATTTAAGGACAGAAAGCTTACCCATCTTTTCTATTACTTGTGAAATAGCATAGTTTTAAGAAATAAATACAAGTTGAGCTGGGTGTGGTGACACACTCCTGTAATCCCAGTGGCTTGGGAGGCTGAGACAGGAGGATTTTGAGTTCAAAGCCAGTCTCAGCAATGGTGAGGCCCTAAGCAACTCAGTGAGACCCTGTCTCTAAATAAAACACAAAAAAGGGCTTGGGGTGCTAGAGTAGTGGCTCAGTGGTAGAGTGTTCACCTAGCACATGTGAGGCCCTGAGTTCAATCCTCAGCACCACATAAAAAATAAATAAATAAAATAAAGGTATTGTGTCAAACTACAACTAAAAAATAAATATTAAAAAAGGGGGGGTTGGGCTGGGGATGTGGCTCAAGCGGTAGCGCGCTCGCCTGGCATGCGTGCGGCCCGGGTTCGATCCTCAGCACCACATACAAGCAAAGGTGTTGTGCCCGCCGATAACTAAAAAATAAATATTAAAAAATTCTCTCTTTACTCTCTGTCTCTCACTCTCTCTTTAAAAAAAAAAAAAAAAAAAAAAAAAAAAAAAAAAAAGGGGGGGTTGTGGATGTGGCTCAGTGGTTAAGCATCCCTGCATTCACTCCCTAGTACAGAAAGAAAGAAATATTGGAAAAAGTTTTATGACTTTATCCCCAGTACTGCAAAAAAAAAAAGAAAAAAAGAAATTTTATAACTTTGTGCCTATATATTCTTGCTATAATATGCCAGCTTATAACATAGATGTAGTTTTATTGTGTTGTTTTGATAAGTTCCTTTAAAAAATGTTTTTTATGATGGGGGATCTCACTATGTTACCGTCTGGTCTGGAATTTCTGGCCTGAAGGTATCCTCCTGCTTCAGCCTCCCTATTTGCTGGGTATATATATATATATATTTTTTTACCTTTAAACTGTTTTCATCCTGGCATCCTAAATATTAAAACATTGAAAAAACACTTTCTGTTATATAAAGTTTTGTATAAATTTTACAAACCTATATTATAGGGCAATCATGTCCAATAAAATGAGGATTACATTTGGCTCATGTCAAATATAGTAAAAACATCTCTGAATAATGTAAATTACTAAGGAAAAAGTTAGTGTCACATAAGGCTAAGAAACATGTGTTAGTCAGCTTCTCGTTGCTGTGACAAAATTATTGAGAAAATCCTAAAAGAGGAAAGATCATTTTGGCTCACAGTTTCAGAATCTCCAGTCCACGGTCAGCTGGCTCCATTGTTTCTGGGAGAATAGTGAGGAAGTACATCAAGGTAAAAGGGTATGTAGAAGCAAACCTACTCACCTCATGGTGGCCAGGAAGCAGAGAAGGGAAAGGGCTGGGGGCAAGATACATCCCCAAGGACTCATTCACTTCAACAAGCCCCCATCTCTGAATATTACTGCACTGGGGACCAAGACTTCAACATGAGTCTTTGGGGGTCATTCTAAATTCAAAGCATAACAAATCATTACACTAATACCTGCTTTTTGTATGAAAATAAGAAGCTTGTATGGAAAAGTGACATATTTCAAGAGAAAGGATTACCAAGAGAAAGTAATTTCTCTTAGTAAAGGATTTTTTTTTAAAGTTAAAGGAAAGATGTTGAGCATGGTGGCGCACGCCTGTAATCCCAGCGGCTCAGGAGGCTGAGGCAGGAGGATCTTGAGTTCAAAGCCAGCAAAAGCAAGGCACTAAGCAACTCAGTGAGACCTTGTCTCTAAATAAAATACAAAATAGGGCTGGGGATGTGGCTCAGTGGTTGACTGCCCTTGAGTTCAATCCCTGGTACCAGAAAAAAAAAAAAAAAAAAGTTAAAGGAAAGATAAATGTTACAAGGTTAGAACCACCTACAACTCATTTTTTTGAGTGTATGAAATCAAACCCAAACTTTCTGAGCTTAAAATTGGCATAATTTATTAAGTTTCAGAAAATTGTCTTGCTTTTTAAAAATTTAGCATTATTCAGACTTCAAAAACCCTTAAAATATCATTTTAATTTTAAATTACTAAAAAGTAGTAGGATTTTCCCTTAGTAAAGTACTTAAGCATAGCTGATGTAGAAAATTATCTGTTGTAGATTATGTTTTGGTTTTATCATACTCCAAATATTTTGGGGCTGGGGTTGTATCTCACTGGTGGAGTGCTTGCGTAGCATGTACAAGGCACTGGGTTTGAGTAATGCATATAAATAAATAAAAGGTTCATTAACTACTAAAATTTTTTTAAAAAAATATACACTGGATTAAAGATGATATAGTAAATTTCAAAACACTCTAAATATTTGCTAAGCCTAGAAGAGCCTCTTCTAAAGTCATTTTTATTTTCATCTACTTTAAACAAAAAAATAAGACCAAAGTCACATATAAAGAGAAAACAGAAAAAGCCATTGACACATCTTCCAGTGTAAAATCAAAATGCTAAGGCAGGAGCTAGAGTTGTAGTTTAGTGTAGAGCACTTGCCTACCGTGTGTGAGACACTAGGTTTGATTCTCAACACTGCATATAAAAAAATAAAATAAAGTACATTGACAACTAAAAAAATATATTTAAAAAGTACTAAAGCAAATAAATGGAGAAATATCTAAGAACTAATTTGTTCTTAGAAAACACTATAAGATCTTACAATGTTTATAGGGGAATTGCTGGTAATCCACAATACTTAGTTACATACTTTGTTTTTTGGAACTATTGTTAAATTATGGTAACTGTAGCATTTTTAGTTCAGCAGCAACTGGAATACTAATTGTTTGGGGATTTGATCACCAAACAGCAGAACAGTGTAGAATATAGTTTTACTTAAGAGATTACTGCTCAATTTATGAGTAGTTGCTAGCAAATAAAATTACTTAATTTTTATATGCTATACTCTTAAGCATAAGTATGCACATCAATATATAGTTTCTTTAACATTGCTGTATATTGTTGGGCTGGGGTTGTGGCTCAGCGGTAGAATGCTCGCCTAGCACATGCTAGGCCCTGTGTTTGATCCTCAACACCACATATAATAAATAAAATAAAGGTATTGTGTCCAACTACAACTAAAAAATAAATATTTTTTAAAAACATTGCTGTATATTAAGATAATTCATTAGGGTTATGGAGTATAACTCAGTAGTAGAGTGTGTGTATGCCTAGCAGGTGTAAGGCCCTGGGTGTTCAATCCTCAGTGTCTCCCCAATACTGTCCAAAAAAAAAAGACAATTCGTTTTTTTATCATAGTAGAGCTCTGATTAATAGCTTAAATGAAAGTAAGCTTCCCCACAAGAAACCCAGTGACTTGCATAATGACAAACTGAACAAGTTGGAAATGTTTCTAATTTTAACTTAATTTTATTAATACAAATAAATAACAAATTAAATAAAATTTAGCAAGTATTAAATCTTTAGATGTCAGACATTTTGCCACACATACAATGTTTTTGAAATAACAATGCATATTTTCTATTTTATGTACCTTTAAGAAAGCAGTGATCTTTGAATGTCTATCAGTGTTAATTTTTTTTTTATTAAATATCCTTTCAGAGCCTAAACAGTTGGCTTTTGTTGTTGTTGTTCTGAAAAGTCCTGTTTCTTGACAAATTTTCTGGAATTATATTTGTTTTCTTGATGAGAAAAAAAAAGTATTCTTAGTCCTTTGGCACCTTTTTCTCTTACCCTGTGTCCAATACAGCTATCTTTCAAGTCATCTTTCCTATTTAGTGAGGCCACAATAAACCAAGGAGTGTGCATGCATGTCCTTATTTCTTACAGGTTTCCCAGCTACCTGGTAGTGGAATTGCTACAGAAGTCATATACCTAGTAAGGTGTCAAGTAACCATAGACTTTTGTAGCATTTTTACCTCCCAATATTTATCGACATAAAAATCTGTCATCATACAATTGAGTACTATTCATATAAAGAGGTTGACCCTTTAGTAAAAATCACACAAAGAGGTTAATGTTTGTTTTTTATTGATATAAGATGGTTCTTCCAGTTGCACATTTTGCTCGGCACCTCATACTTGCTCTAATCTCTGAAAGTGAACAATTATCCTGGCAATAAAATCTTTGTTATTAACCAAAGAACTGTAAGCATGTTGAATCAACATAGGATGAGAAATGTGAGACAGGTGCCTATTGTTTGTGCTTGGAGAACAGTCTGATAAGCAATACTGGGCTTCTTGAACACTTGAACCTCTTCCCAAGTGTGGTCACTTAATGCCCACATTGCGAATAGGATGAAGTTGAGGGGCAGAAGGAATCATCCAAACGTGTTAAAGATAGATGTCCTATAGTTTCACACGGCATAAAGTGTTTATCATAAGATATAAACTTCCGATTGGTTTCCAAGAAAAGTAACACCATTAGTTTGTTATTAGTACTGTTATGGTGGTAATGATTTGTGTCTGAGAAACAATAATAAAGATAAATATAATGCTGTCTTTTTGAGCTTGCCTTCTAGGAAAAATCATCCTATGAATCAAAGTCAAAGGAAACTGAGGAAATCACTATAAGAAGAAAAAAAAAAGTGCTGCGGACTGGGTCTTCTAATTTAAGCCAATCTTCTGATTTAGAAAAAGACATGGGTTAAATGATCTGACCAGTTAATAGTTGACATAGTTGTGTATTACAATGGTTATAGAGTTTTCTGACAGTCTCTTAATGTGTTAGAATTTTTTTTTTTTTTTCAAATACTCCATTTTGGGGGTCAATGTGACTTCTACACTATCACAATATCAGCACTAATGAGAATAATACATGCTTTTGCAAGTTAACCTCCCACTTTAAAATCTGATATTACCTGTAATTCCTGATGACATATGTATTCAACAAAAAACTGGACCAGTGAATTGTAGAAACTGAAAATTTGGTCACAAATGTTGCATCTATTAATATTTATTTATTTGATACTGAGGCACTTTACCATACTGAGTCACATCCCCAGTCCTTTTAATTTATTTTGAGACAGGGTCTCACTAAGGCTATTCTAAGAGGAGAGAGAAGAGAGTTGCTAAGGCTATTCTTCAGCCCAAGATTCTCCTTCCTCAGCCTCCCAAATCTCTGGGATTACAAACATGGAACACCATGCCTGACTGTCTCTATTAATAATTAAATGAAGAATTTGTTAGCTACATTTTAGTGGTAATAAAATGATACCATTTGTCTGCAGCATCCAAAGAATACATCAAATTTCTTATGTTCCGCAATCTGTATATGGGGTAAAAATGGGAGCTCATAACCCACTTGAATCAAAGTGTGAAATATGATATATCAAGAACTATGTAATGTTTTGAACAGCCAACAATAAAAAATTTAAAAAAAATTTCTTATGTTCCAAAATATTTTTTAGGGGGGAGGAGAGAATAATCTCACAATTATTCAGAGTAATAAAATAATGTGAATTTAAATGAATTTGCAGTAGCAAGTCATGGTGGTTCAAGAGTGTAATGAGATTCCAAATATAGTTCAAAGGTATTTTAAATTAAACCTTGCTTCTTTTGTAAACTTAAATAATTTAAGGAATTCAAGGACACTTCATAATGCAAAACTTCATTCTCTAAAAAAAAAAATAATGAAATTTAGTAACTACTTAGTGAAATCTTAAAAATATCCCCTATATTAACTTTTACTTTTTCTTTATTTTCCTCCCCAATAATCCTAGCTTGGAATCATCAGTGTTTTGATAAACAAATCTATTAGGTTTTTCAAAGTAGGTATGGAAACATGTGGTGGGGAAGAAAAATGTAACTAAGATGTTACTTTGTACTCTGGTACTTGTCACTACCACTGAGCTACATTCTCAGCCCTTTTTATTTTTTATTTTGAGACAGGGTCTCCCTAAATTGGCCTCCAACTTTCAATCTCCCTGCCTCTGCTTCCCGAATCCCTGGGCTTACTGGCATGTGCCACCACACCCAGCTAGTTATGGATGAATTCTTCAACTTAGAAAAAGAAAACAAAACCAGGATAAAAGCAAGAACTTTGCTTTTGCACAAATCTGTAAATGAAAATCTAGAGAAAAAAAATTCCTGCCACCAATGAGGATTATAGTTAGACAATAAAAGGAAAGTGACCCTTCAAAACTGAAGGTAATTGCTTTTGCTACTGAAGTACAATAAAATCTTATTACCACAATTTTCATGTTCTCCACAATGTTCACTCATCAGTCCTATCAAATCTTTCACTGAGCCCCCTTTTTAAAAATAATTTTTAAATTGTCAGTGGACCTTTACTTTATTCGTTTATTTGTGGTGCTGAGAATTGAACCCAGTGCCTCACACATGCTAGTCAAGCACTCTACCACTGAGCCACAACCCCAGCCCTCACTGAGCCCTTTTTGCCAAAATTTGAGAATTTTCCACAATTTCCACCCTCTTCTGCAGACAATTCCCATATCTCCTAGTGTTTCTTCCCCCCATCAGCTCCAGAAGTAAGTTAAACCAAAGTCTTGGGAAAAGAAAGCTAGCCTCTGTGAAATCCAGCTAGAAGGAGGCTGTCAAGAAGTTAGGTAGATCAGGGGCTCAGTGGTATAGCTCAATAGTACTGGTGCTTGCCTAGCATGTAGCTTGACACGGGGTAAGAGGGGAAGAGCACATAAAGAGGAAATGGGAGATCCAGGAGGGCTCCTGTTTGTGTGTGTTTGTTTTTTTGCTAGTGCTGGAGATAAAACCCAGAGCCTTGTACCTGCTAGGTGAGTATTCTACTACTGAGCTACACTCCCAGTCCAAATCCCATTTTTTGAGATATGGAAGAAAGCTTAGAAAGAAGGGCAAATTATTTGTGAAGATTGTTCTAGCAGCAGAATAGGTACTTTCTTTCATTATATAGTTTCTCTTATTTGTAACATTTCATTCTAATCCAGAAAAGTGTAAGATGATTTGGTTGTATTATGTTAATATATATCTTCCTCTATTTATGGACCTTTTGTGTCATTGTTTTAAAGAAGGAAATATATATGTATATGGTATGCCTGTACATATAGACATATATATATATATATATATATATATATATATATATATATATATATATATATAAACAACATACTTCTTTTGTTCTTTATCTGTTACTCCATATAAAATATGAATGAAATATATTATTCTTTGTAATCACATGCCAAGAGGTAATAAGGAATGTGATTTATATTCTGCACATTCTAAAATACCATACTGCAAATCTTCACAAAACATTCTAGGCTGTATCTACACAACCTAAGCAAAGTGAACAGATACTATTGTTTAGTGAATTTGGGTCTGTTCTAACTATAAAACAGAATTTTCTCTTTTTTCACAGATCCACACAAACAGAATGGACTGACAGTTAACCTTCTATTTTGGTTTGGTGTTGAATTTAACAAAACTTGGAGTCTGAGGCAGAGCTTATTTTCCAGAGAAATCACAGCATATTCTTGGGTTTGCCTGTTGTTTTTATATTAATAATGGTGTGAGCAATTGCTGCTAAAATCCTATGCAGCTTTTGAATTCCTAGTTTCCTTAGATGATAAAAAGCCCCATAGATGCTATTCTTCAGGTGTGGAAAAGTAGTACTCTTCTAAGTGTTAATTCAGCGATGTATTCTCTAAATGCAAGGTTTTCTGAGTATTTAGGGGGAGAGTGTATTCATGGTCAAATATAAGACCTCCTTATGGAAGTTAGCCTGAGCATGTACAAGATGGAACAAATTCAAAAAGCCTCTGTCGTCTTCATCACGATCTCCTATATGTCATACACAGGAACAGACAGTAGGGAAAAGAAAATGTCAGTTAAAAATTTAAAAATATGATTTAGAAATATAAGATGTTCCAATTGTTCCTAATAATATTTAAAGAGAAGACTTTCTGTTATTGACCTTTACTAAGTCGGACATTAATCACTGAAATAATATAATTATATAAGAACACTGGATTAGAAATCAGAGGAAAAGAATGCTGGTCCATGCTTTATTGTTTCTAACTTTATGACCTGTGCAAGTCAGATTATTTCTCAAAGCCTTATTTTTCTTATCTGTAAAAGAGGATTAATTATCATGTTGGCCACCTAATAAAATATAAAACGATATTATCAAATACTATACAAACACGAGATATTACGAGGATAATGATAGTTGGTAAATGAGCAAATTAAAATTTTTGTTGTGTAACATAATTGAAATTTGGTTCCTTTCAGAGCAGACTCTTCAACTTCATGTTCTCTATTGAAACCAGTAGCAGATTTTTGAAGTGACAAAAGCTAGGAACTAGGGTTGGAGTTGTGGCTCAGCGGTAGAGTGCCTGCGTAGCATGCATGAGGCACTGGGCTCAATCCACAGTACCACATAAAAATAAATAAAATAAAGGCATCCTGTCCATCTACAACTACAAAAAAAATTTTAAAAAAAAGCTAGGAACTAAAAATATCTCACAAATGAACAATAAAATGTCTGCTCCTCCTATTGTTAGTTTAGAAATAACGGTCTACACAGAAATAGTTCTGTCTTAAGTAGATACTTTTACTCACTCCTATGCATCAGGTACATTCCTACTTACCAGACATGATTGACTGCAGCATTTCCATTGTAACACAGGCAAATGCATTTGCCACACTCTGCAGGAAGTTATTTCTTTCCACCGGAGTGTTAAAGACTTTACAGACTTTTTGCATCATTTTAACTGCCCAATCCATGCAGTATAGTTCTTTCTCACACACCTGATTTAGACATAAAAGTATTATTGTAAATCTTCATGTGAAGAAAGAATTTGAAAATGTTACTGACAATGACAGTATGATTTAACATAATGTATTACATATGATACCCCATTGATTTTATAAAAAGGAAATGCTTGTATCTTTAATACTCTTTGCTTTCAAATGGTGCAATTTTAGTGGAAATAAAATATGAAATAAATAAAACCCTGGTTCAAGATTATCAGAATATTATTCACTAATACAAGAACTAATGTTGAAAATAGTTATTATATAATAAAATATAAGACTTCTGCTCATTCAATCATTCTGTAAGCATTTATAGAATACCATTAAGAACTAGAGGGGCTGGGATTGTGGCTCAGCGGTAGAGCACTCCCCTAGCATGGGCGGGACCCAGGTTTAATCCTCAGGACCACATAAAAATAAAAAAAGGCATTTGTTATGTCCATCTACACCTAAAAAAAAAAAAAAAAAGAAAAGAAAAAGAAAAAAGAAAGAAAGAAAAGAAAAAGAAAAAAAAAAGAACTGGAGATACAAAGATAAGCTATAAAAACATAGTTTGAAGCTGGGGATACAGCTCAGTGATAGATCCTTGCCTGGCATGTATGAGGTTCTGGATTTGATTGTCGGCACCATGGGTTTCAAAAAAAAGGTATGGCTTTATTTTCAGGGAATACAATGAAGACAATAGAGAATTTCAGTAGGCAAAGCACTGTGGTATCAATTTTCCATCTTGAGAGTCCCAAAGAACACTTGTTTGTTTGGTACTGGGACTGAACTCAGAAGTGCTTTACTACTGAATTACATCCCCAACTCTTTATTTATTTTTATTTTTTAGTTGTATATGACACAATACCTTTATTTTATTTATTTATTTTTTCATGTGGTGTTGAGGATGGAAGCCAGTGCCTCACACGTGCTAGGTAAACACTGTACTGCTGAGCCACAACCCCAGCCCCCCCAAATAAAACCCTTTTTATTTTTTAATTGAGTCAGGTTCTTGCTAAATTGCTTTAGGGCTTTGCTAAATTGCCTAGGCTGGCCTCAAACTTGAGGTCCTCCTGCCTCAAATTGCTGGGATTATAGGCATGGGCCACTGTGCCTGGCTATTTCTTCATGATTTAAAAGATACATATTTAAAGACTACATGTTCCTAGGTAAAACTGAAAAGTAAGAATTAATTTATTTATTGATCTGTTGTATGTAGATTGAACCCAGGATCTTAGTGAATGCTAGGCAAGCAATCTACTACTAAACTACATCCCCAGAACTTTTCATTTTATTTTGAGACAGGGTCACCTAGGATGGCCTCAAACTTTTGATCCTGCTGTCTCAGCCTCCCGAGTAGCTGGGATTGCAGGCATGTGCCACTAAGTCTGGCTTTATTTTATCTTTTTTTTTTTTTTTTCATTTTTGCAGTGCCAGGAATCAAACCCAGGAACTCTTTAAGTATGCTAGGCAAGTGCTCCACCATTAAACTACATCCTCAGCCGCTCTGGTCAATCAATTATAATGTTAAACAACTTGCTAGAGAAAAATTTATTTTTTACTTACCAAAGCTAAAAAGACAATGAGCCTTGCCAGTTCAATGGCCCGTCCATTCACAGCTTTACTAGCCATGAAAGTGAAACAGATGTTGTTTCCACTTAGGATTAGGAGATGTGCATTATTCTCTAGAAGCCACTCCCGAGGAACCACTTTTATTAGAGGAAGAATGGTTATTTAATGAGAAATTACACAATAGCTATATTAAACATCTTTAAATACATGCAATATTACATTGCCTTATTGGAAATACAATTAGTACCAAGGGAAACACATAGGAAAAAATGTTTAAGTTTTTCAATTACAGCATTCAACCAGAGCAGAGATTATTGCCAAGCCATGGTAGCTTGTACAAATGTAGAAGTAATGTAGTCAAAGTAATTATCCTACATATATGAGCAGGCAAAGTGAACTCATCTTATATAAGGAAGAATCCTAGTAAACTTTAACATCTAAAACATTATGCAGGAATGAGAAAAATTATTTTCACCTCTCCTATACCAGTAGGAGAGGGTTTTCTTCTTACATAACCTAGAAAGATGTTCCTAAGAACTCACAAAATGGGAATAAGAGAGATAATTAAACTATAAATCCTTCAAATAATAATATATTTATAAAATTGGCAATTGAAGAAAATTTATTAAATTTATTCTTTTCAAACATTATGCCAAACTCTTCAAATATTTTAGAGCAATCAGTGGTTTCTAATAAGGATTGAATTTGTTACCTGTAGAATTTTCCTTACAATTTTTTTTTTTCCAGTACTGGGGATTGAACCCAGGGGTACTCTACCACTAAGCCACACCCCCAGCCCTTTTTTATTTTATTATTTTTAGTTGTCAATGGACCTTTATTTAATTTATTTATATGTACAGTGAGAATTAAACCTAGTGCCTCACACATGCTAGGCAAGCACTCTACCACTGAGCTACAATCCCAGGCCTCGTTTTTATTTTATTTTGAGATAGGGTCTCATTAAATTTCTGAGGCTCAACACGGACCTCCGATTCTCTTACCTCAGCCTCCTTGGTTGCTGGGATTATGGGTGTGCACCACCCTACCTGGCTTTTCTTACAGTTTTATAATAATATTCTAACACTACATTTCTATTACTGTATATAATACAGTCATAATATTACTGTATATTAGTAAATGAATATTTGTACCTGACAGTTCATCTACAAGACTGATAACATCATCTGCTGTCCACTCTTTGGTGCCTGTATCATACAGTAATTTAATGGCATCAGCCAAACCTTTCAGACTGGATTCATCTGTAGGTCCTTCTATCATTTTCTGCCAAACCACCTGTCCTGAATTGAAACAGAAACTAGGCTATGATAGAATAATTGGTTTTGTGATACAGATTTCATGGATTGTTTAAAAAGGACAGTGGATTGCCTAATGAGATCCCATCATTTATATAAGACACTTTCATAATAAAAGGCCAATTCTGATAATAATATAAATTTGAATGTTTCTTACTAATGTGATGAAACATAGCAACAAGATAGCCAAATAAAGTAAAGAAAAGGTAGTTTCATCAGCAGAATAGTGCTTTTAGTTCAAAGATGATGTTACCTCATTACAGAAATTGGAATAAGCAATTTACTGAAATAAAACAAAACCCACTGATATTCTTCCTCAAAAGAACATGCTATATTTGAGCATCTTTTAAACATATATAACAAAACAGTAATTAAATTTTTTATTATATCTATGACCAGTTTTCTTTGTGGAGTACACATAACAAAATTTTAATCTCAGATTAACTCCCTGCTGCTTCTCAACATATTTTAGTTTCCTCCTGATATAAGTCAATGTGGGCTAAATAAATTCATGATAACTTTAATATTACTCCAAGAAAAATTTAGGCAAAAATTTTGCAAGTCATATTATGCACCTGAAATTAAATAAGCATCAATTCTGCCACTACTTTGCTTCTTAGTAGTACTATTAGACACTCCAGCAGCAAAAATAACCTTGGGTTAAGATAATGTTTAAAACTGGAAAACAGCTATTTCACATAAACCCAGGGACAATAAAAATACATTTGTTAATGTTCTTCAGCAGAACAATTTCTGTCTTGACTCTTAAGCTAAGCACAAGTTAATGTAGTATATACATCTATGAAATCATGAAATAGTTTAATCATTAGGAGTGGTGGAATTGAACAGGTAAAAAAGATTGGCTTCACAAAGAAAAAGCAATTAATTAGTTATATAACATACATTCTGAAAAATCAGTGCTCACCATCCTGAGAAGATGTTGGCCCAAAGATGATATACAGTAATCTTGCCTGATTCACCATTGGCCATGGTTTTAATATTCGTGTCAACCAAAAAGCAGAATCACTTCGATGTGTCCAATGATCAAGGAGGACATTTCTACAGAATAGTCTGATCCTTAATTCTAATTTTCGGGCACTTCCTATAAAGCAAAAGAATTATAAACCATTTTTCTAGAAAGGTGGATTGCATATTGGGTAGTGATCACTGCAACACATTAACCATTGTGGGTCATAGTGATCAATGATCATAAACTGGGTTTCTTTTTTTTTGATACTGGGGATTGAACTCAGGGACACTCGACCACTATTTTGAATTTAAGAGACAGGGTCCCACTGAGTTGCTTAGTGCCTCACTTTTGCTGAGGTTTTTTTTTTGAACTCACAATCCTCCTGCCTCAGTGTTCTAAACTGCTGGGATTACAAACATAAGCCACATAAACTGGGTTTCTAAACAAGAATTACCAATAGATTATCTGTTTTTTTTTCCAGTTGCAGATGGACAAAATACCTTTATTTTATTTGTTTACTTTTATGTTATATGGTGCCGAGGATCAAAGCTAGTACCTTACACATGCTAGGAAAGCGCTCTACCATTGAGCTACAACCCCAGCTCGTTATCTGTTAAGATGCCCTAACTTTGTAGTTTGACTTTCTTCTTACCCTTATCCTCTTGATTTACTTTCTCTTTATTTCGTTCTTTTTTTTTGGTACTGGGGATTAAACCCAGGGGCACTTTACCCTGAGCTATATCCCCAGTGCTTTTATTTTTTGAGACAGGGTCTTAATAAATTGCTGAGGCTGGTCTTGAACTTGCAATCTTCCTGCCTTGGCTCCCAAGTAGTTGGAATAGAGGAGAGTGTGTGCCACTCTCCTCGCCTCATTGTTTCTTTTCCTCTTGTTTATTGAAATATAATTCATATACCATACATTCTGTTATTTAAAGTGTACAGTTTTGGGGCTAGAGATTTGGCTCAGTGGTATAGTGTTTGCCTAATATGTATGAGGTGCTAGGTTCAATCTCCAGTGCTACCAAATAAATAAACTGTACAATTTGGGCTGGGGGTATAGTTCAATGGTGGAGCATGTGCTTAGCATGCATGAAGCTCTGGGTTCAATCTTGAGCACCAAAAACTAAAATGAAGTGTACAAATTAACGGCTTTTAAAATGGTGTTATTAATTTTAAAAAAACTGTGGTATTTATAAAATTTGCCATTTTATTTATTTATTTATGGTATGAGGGATACTTTATCACTGAGATACATCACCAATCTTTTTTTTTTTTTTTTTTTTTGAGACAGTCTTGTTGAATTGTTTATGGCCTCATTAAGTTGTTGAGGCTAGTCTTGAACTTGTGATCATCCTGTTCCAGCGTCCCTAGTTGCTGGCATTACAGATGTGTGTCACTGTTCCTGGCTTTTTAAACCTTTTTAATTTATTTTTTTATTTTTATTTATTTATTTTTAGGTGTAGATGGACACAATACAATGCCTTTATTTTTATGTGGTGCTGAGGATTGAACGCGGGTCCCGCCAGTGCTAGGTGAGCGCTCTACCGCTGAGCCACAATACCAGCACCTTAAACCATTTTTAAGTGTACAATCCAGGGGCATTAATTCCATTAACAATTTTGTTCAACCATAAACATTGTCTGCGTCCAAAACTTTTTCATCATTCCAATACAAACTCTGCAGCCGTTAAGCAATAACTTCAAGTTCCTCCCTTTCCCCAGTTCCTGGTAATCTCTAATCTACTTTCTGTCTCTGTGTATTTGCCTGTTCTAAGTATCTCATGTAAGTAGATTCATATAATATTTATCTCTTTGTTCCTGACCTCTTTTACTTAGTATAGTGTTTTCAGTTTATCTATGTTGGATGAAAGCTGAGAACGAAGCTTGGTGAGAAAAAAAAAAAAAGTTCATCTATGTTGTAGCATACTCACTTTGTTTATTTGTCTATTGATAGACACTTGGGTTTTGGGGTTGTTTCTACCTTTTGGCTATTATGAGAAATTCTGAAATGAACATTAGCATACAAGTATTTGTCTAAGTGCCTGCTCTCAGTTTCATTACATATATATCTAGGAGTGGAATTGCTGGGTCATAAAGTAATTTTATGTTTAGTTTTTTGAGGGGCAGCCAAAGTGTTTTCAGAAGTTATACCATTTTACATCATTTATATTTTACTTACTTGGAGATAAGACAAGTGTAAATAGAAAGTCTAGGGTTGGAGATGTAGATCATTAACAGAATATTTGCCTAGCATTCAGGAGGCTCTGGACTAGATCTGAAACACAGCAAAAAGTCTAATAATCTAAGACAATACATAAGTACCTCCTGGTGTGTTAAGTCAAATGTAAGTTACAAGTTTAGAGGAGAGAGATTACTATAGGCCTTCAGAGATCACAAAATGCTGGGTGGGAGGCTGTCAGGTGAACTGAGTCTTAGAAGGAGTCAGGTGAATAGACTCTATTTATTTATTGGGAGTCCTGGAGATTGAATTCAGGGGTGCTCTACCATTGAGTTACATCCCCAGTCCTTTTTATTTTTTTTTTATATTGAGACAGGGTCATGCTAAGGTGCTCATATGGCCTTGAATTTGCAATCTTCCTGCCTTAGCCTCCCGAATTGGGATTATAGGTATGTGCCACTGTGCCCAGTTTAAGTACTGATTCTTAAAGGATGAGAAGGAGAGATGGTATTTCAGGAAAATGAGACAGAATGAATAAAAGGTAGTGAGATAGAATTGTGTAAAAGGTATCTGAAACACAGTGAGTAGAGAAAGCAATATGCCTAGGTCAAACTGATATAAAGTATAGTGGACAATAACTTTGAAAAAGTAGGCTGGGAACAAAATGTGAGGACTAGTATAAATAATATGGATTTTATTTTGAAAACATCAAAGAGCTAATGAGGGTTTTTGACCAGAGAAGAACATGATAAATTAATTTTATTATTGATTCATTGGACTTTTAAAAAATATTATTTAGGGGCTGGGGATGTGGCTCAAGCGGTAGCGCGCTCGCCTGGCATGCGTGCGGCCCGGGTTCGATTCTCAGCACCACATACAAACAAAGATGTTGTGTCCGCCGAGAACTAAAAAATAAATATTAAAAAATTCTCTCTCTCTCTCTCTTTCTCTCCCACTCTTTCTTTAAAAAAAATATTATTTAAATTGTAAATGTATCTTTAATTTTATTTACTTATTTATATGCAGTGCTGAGTATTGAACCCAGGGCCTCACACATGCCAGGCAAGTGCTCTATCACTGAGCCACAACTCCAGCCCCAATTCATCTGCCTTTTTTTTTTTTTTTTTTTTTTAAAGAGAGAGAGAGAGAGAATTTTTTAATATTTATTTTTTTTTTAGTTTTCGGTGGACACAACACCTTTGTTTGTATGTGGTGCTGAGGATCGAACCCGGGCCGCACGTATGCCAGGTGAGCGCTCTACCGCTTGAGCCACATCCCCAGCCCCTTAAATCTGCCTTTTTGATTCATAATTTGTTTTACAGTAAAATATTTCAAGCTGCTAGAAAAGCAGAGGTACTATAACAAACACTGTGTACAAATCACCAAGCTTTGCCAAAATTTTCTTTTTTTCTATTTGCTTCAGATATTTTAAAATAAATAAAATATTACAGATGTTAGAGATTCAATGCCCTTCCTCTTTTTCCCTAGAAGTAAGTAATTACCATCTTGAATTTGTTTTTTGCCGTTAGGGTTTTCCAGAGAAACAACCAACAAGAGGGACAACTATGCAAGTATGTGCGGCAGGAGAGGGAGAAATAGAGGGAGAGAGAAAATATGAAGTTGATTTTCTTTAAAGAATTGACTTATGACTATAGAGGTTGGCAAGTTTGAAATCTGCAGGGTAGACTGGCATGCTAGAGACCCAGGGAAGAGTTGCACTAAGGGTCCAAAGGCAGTCTTGTGGTAGGATTCCTTGCATCGGAAGATCTTTTCCTATAAAGGCTTTCAACTAATTGGATGATGTCCCCCCACCTTATGGAGGGAAATATGCTTTATTTAAAGTTTACTGATTTAAATGTCCAGCTCATCTAAAAATATGTTCACAGAAAATCCTATAATAATGTTTGACCAAATATGTGAGTATGGGCTGAGGCTCAGTGGTAGAGTGCTTGCCTAGCATGTGTGAAGCACTGGGTTCGATCCTCAGAACTACATAAAATAAATAAAATAAAGGTATTATATCTATCTACAACTAAATTTAAAAAATATATGGGTACCATGATCTAGCTAAGTTGAAAACCAGAATTAATCATCATACCTCCCAACTATGTTTTTCTACATTTTTATATATGTGTGTATATAAATGATATAATAGTTATATCATTTGGTAATATTTTTTCTCAAATTATGTTTTAAAATTATCCATATTAATATATATGGCTCGAATTATTCATTTTAAATAATTAATGGCTTTAATTGTGTGAATACAGCACAATTCGTTTTTTTCCATCCTCCTCATGATAGGCTTTTAGGTTGTTCGGAGCATTTCATGGTTACAAATAATGCTGCAATAATCATTCTTTTTTTTTTTTTTTTTTTTTTGTACCAGGGATTGAACCCAGGCATTTAACCATGAGCCACATCCCCAGACCCCTCTTTTTTTTGGTAGTTGTAGATGGACAGCATGCCTTTATTTTATTTGTTTATTTTTATGTGGTGCTGAGGATCGAACCCAGTGTCTCACATATGCTAGGCAAATGCTCTGCCACTGAGCTACAGCCTCATCCCACCCCAGCTTTTTAATATTTTATTTAGAGACAGGGTCTTGCTGAGTTGCTTAGGGACTCACTAAGTTGCTGAGGCTGGCCTTAATCTTGCAATCCTCTTGCCTCAGCCTCCCAAACTTCTGGGATTATAGGCATGCACCATCACACCAAGCTAGAAAAGTTTCAAGAATACTAGAATGAACTACTTTGTGCCTACCACACAATTTAAGGAATAAAATGTTAATTCAGTTGATTACCTCTCAGGACGTCTCTTTCCCCAATCACATACTGCTATTTGCATCAATATTTCATGTGATGTTGATCACTTCCTTAGATTTATTTCTCCTTTTACTGTGTATGAATGTATGTATGTAAATATGTATTCATTAGTACTGGGGACTGAACCCAGGAGTGCCCTACCACTGAGCTACATCCCCAGCCCTTCTTTTTTAAAAATTTTAGACAGGGTCTCACTAAGTTTCCCAGGATAACCTTGAATTTGCAATCCTCCTGCCTCAGCCCCCCAAATTGTTGGGATTATAGGTGTGTACCCCATGCCTGGATCCAAAAGTTAATTAATTAATTAATTAATTAGTTAATTAATATATAATGGTACTAGGCATTGAACCCAGGGGTACTTTACCACTGAGCTGTATCTCCAGCCATTTTTATTCTTTTGAGATAGGGTCTTACTAAGTTTCTTAGGGCCTCATTAAATTGCTGAGGCGGGCCTTAAACTTGCAGTTCTCCTGCCTTAGTCTTCAGTGTCATTGGAATTACAGATGTGCACCACTGTACCTGGCTCCATAATTTATTTTTAAACACTTTTGAACTCTTCTTTTTTTTTCCACCTTAATTTCTGTATAACATCATCTGTAAATTGTAGTTCTTTACCTGGTTTGCCACAGACAACAGTCTGCATCTTGCGGGAGAGATTAGTCAACTCACATAAGAAGTTATAGACACGATGGCACTCAAGTTCATCCCAACCTGCTGTTAAGGTCTAAAGAAAATAAAATAAAGGAAACATTGCATGTGTTCAGACCATCAAATCAAAACACAAGTCAATGCCCCTTTATGAGCATAAGTGATTTTAACACATGATTAAGATGATCTATAATTTTTATTCACTATGGAGCTATTCAAATCAGTGAGAAATTTATATAATCAAAACCAAAATTGCTGTAAAATCCAGTTTCTTTTCGGTTGGAAAGGAAGTATCTTTTCAGAGAACTCTTAAATGGAAAATAATGGCCGAAACCCTAGAACACAGCTTTAGACACTTGACTCAGTTATATTGTGTCTTGGTCTTAAGATTATGGTAGAACCCTTTGGCTTCCCCTAGCGGTCATTTATGCTTACATGCTTACAAATGATAGTGATTTAAATATGACAATTTTGAGCATTTTTTATGATTTTTGGATTTGAATAACCAAAAAAACTTTTATTTGTATCTCTGAGTATACTAAAAGGCATAGACATATATGAAAAGGAGATTCAAGCTGTATACAACTATAATTAGATTTCAAAAGGTTAACTAATCACATAAATTCTTCTTAAAATAATTGGATTTCAGTAGTTTAAAAATTAATCTTCAGTCCCTAGCATTAATCATCATCATCATCATCATCTCTGGAAGGAAAGAAACTGGTAACAGTGATTACTTTTGATGAAGGGAAATCAATAAACTTGGGACAGACCTTATGAGGGACAAGCTTTTTACTGTATATATTTTTTACCTTTTGACAAGCTTTTTACTGTATATACCTTTTGAATTTATACTACCTATTCCAAAAAAACCGAAAGACCAAAATTTCTGAATAAAAGGAACACTCTAACTTTGAAGAAGGCTAGTAGGAGGCCCTGGAATCTGGATGCGTATGAGTTGGTGGCTGGCAGGACAGGATATAGCACCAGATTCTCTTGGGTGCAGTGCCTACTTCTTAAGGTTGTTGTTAGTTTTAAATCAAATAATACATGTAAACTGTTTATAACAGTGTCTGGAACATTGTAAGGGCTTAATTAATACTACTTATTATTTTTATCTTTGCTTATAATAAAAGATTAGTAAAAAATGTTCTTGAAATTTTACAATTTTTTTTGGGAGGGGGACCAGGGATTGAACTCGGACACACTTAACCACGGAGCCACATCGTCAGCCTTTTAAAAATTTTCATCTGAGACAGGGTCTTGCTAAGTTGCTTAGTGCCTTGCTAAATTTCTGAGGCTGGTTTTGAACTTGTGATCCTCCTGCTTCAGCCTCCCAAGCTGCTGGGATTATATATGTGCACCACCACACCCAGCTCTACAGCTGATTTCTAAAATCACAACTTAAATAACTAGTCCAAGAGTTTAAACTTACTATAAACATAAACACATGCACATACATACTACCCTATGATATTTCTTTCTTTTTTTTTAACAATTGGCTAGACACCTAGAGGACATTGTTATAGAGCAAGTGAATGTTAAACATTTGTCACTACTTAGAAACTTAAGAAGAAAATCTGAGATGGAAACACACTATAAGATTAATACATTCTTGGGATGGTATTATGGCTCAGCGGTAGAGCACTTGTCTAGCACGTGCAAGGTCCTGGGTTCGATCCTCAGCACCACATAAAAATAAATAAACAAAATTAAGGTATTGTGTCCAACTACTTCTAATAAATAAATATTAAAAAAGATTAATACATTCTCAAATCTTTTCAGTTTTATTTTGCTCTCTTTAAGATTATTGTAAATTCTATTAACCGATGAAAGGACAGATTCCATGCTCTACTTGTTAACAGTTCAAGAAAGCATTCCATTTCTTCTTTCATTAAAAAATGTACCTGTAAAAACATGCCATAACATGGTAATCCTAAACATTGCATAGGAGCTGCACAGCCATTGAATTTTAAACAGGAAACCTGTAAAGAGAACAATTATTAATTCTTTTTTTCATTGGATCTATACAATGATTTAACATTCAAATATAACAGCAATAAGCAAGATTTTTTTTCAGTACATATTCTGATGAGCACTGTGTTAATTACAAAGGAAGTATGAAACAGTCTCTTCCCTCAAGGAGCTCACAATTTATTTAGAAGAATAAGGTATTCACGTATGAAATTACTATAATTCAGGTTAGACTATGTATAAATGTTTAAATGACTGAATAAATACTACATTGGACAATATGAAAAGAAGGAAAAGATAAATTTAGTAATGATCAAAAAAGCTTATGAAAGACCCATGTAAAATAAGCAATGTCTTAAAGCAGGGCTCAGATATAAATAAATGGAAAGTAATGAATGGTAAAAGACAAAATTGTATGGAGGTAGAAGAAACAATGTTTATTTGGTAAGAAAGATCTGGCCAATTTAATTAGATTCAATTAGAGAAAGAAAGGTTGTATTGGTGGGAGAAGTCTAAATTGAATAGCTACTGAAAGATTTTTTTTTTTGGTGGAGGTACTGGGGATGAACCCAAGAACACCGTACTACAGTTATATTCCCAGTCCTTTTTATTTTTTGTTCTGAGACAGGGTCTCACTAAATTACTGAGGCTGGCCTAGAACTTGCAATCTCCTATCTCATCCTCCAAGTTACTGAGATTACAGGCATGTACCACCATGCCTGACTCACTGAAAGATTTTCAAACAAAAAAGTTATCTTGATGAATATGATGCTTTAGGGGAAAAAAAAAAGAACAAACAATCACAACCTTGAATTGGTACACAGAACAGTTTGGGGAGTGATGAAATAGATGGCAGAAAGATCATTTGGGATTCTGCTGCAATAATACAGACCAGAACTCAATGTAAATACTTCATGGAAAACAGTCAGAGCATGAGAATAGTTTGCATCTTATTGAGCACATAACTGAACCATCAGAATGTATGTTTGGATTGTATTGTAAAATTCAAAAGTCCTGTATAGAGATTATGCCCAAATGCATTGATGTACATTTCCAAGTTTATTATCATAAGAGGTTTGTCATATTATATATTAAAAATACTTCCCTGTTTTTTGCATATTTTAAAAATAAGATGCAACATCAGAAATTAATTTATTAAAAAAACTATCACTTTAAAACTTCCTCAGAAATCCTATGTGAGGTAAAAATGCTTCATATTATACTGGGTTTTTTTCTATATAAATACCCATTATAATGTTTAATTTATAAATTAGGCATAGTAAAAAAAAACAGCAAAAATAACAAATACAACAATTATAATAATGTACCATAATAAAACTGCCAACATCATTACTCCTGCACTTTGGGGGCCATTACTAAGTGAAAAAATTATTTGAATACAAGCATTATGATACCATAACAGTACATATGATAATCCAGACAACTCTTAAGTGATTAATGGGTGATAATATATATAGCATGGCTACACTGGACAAAGGCATGATTTACAACCCAGGTGAGATAGATCAGACTGACAAGAGTTTTCATCATTCTCCTCAGAATGGTTCATGATGTAAAAGTTATGAATTGTTTACTTCTGGAATTTGCTATCTAATACTCTCAGACTGCAGGTCTGGGATTATATGTGTGCACCACATTAACTGAAATTATGGATAAGAGGGGATGACTATATTATACTCTATTTATACTCTGGTAGACTATTAGATTATCACTGATCAAATTTTTAGTACTAATTCATGAGTTGTTATCAACTGTAGATTTAAAAGGAGTATAAAACATTAGTAATAAAATATTTTTACTAAAAATTAAGATTATGAACTAATTCAGAAGTATGATCTTACATCTGAGAGTATCTTGTGAATGTACTTTAGTCTTTCCTTGGTGGGTAGCAGCAATGTGCATCTTTTAAATAGTAGACCTCAGAAAGTAAAGAGACACAAGAAAAAAATGACAACAATGCAATTAATTTAAGCATATCAATACTACAGTACAATGTTTTCCCGAAAGTCAAGTACAGCATATCACAGTGAACTAGGATACAAGTTTTACAGGAACACTGGGGAGGAAGGGCACAAAACATTTATACTACATGGCTTCTGATGTCCATCTAGGAGGCCTTGGCAAAACATCCTGCAAGAAGTTGTAAAATTTGTTGGGCGTAGTGGTGCATGCCTGTAATCTCAGCTATTTGGGAGGCTGAGGTAGGAGTATCACAAGTTTGAGGCCAGCCTCCGCAATTTAGCAAGACCCTGTCTCAAAAGGAAACAAACAAAATGGGCTGGGGATGTGACTCAGTGATAGAGCACCCCTGGGTTCAATCCCAGTACTGAAAAAAAAAAAAAAGTTGTGAAATTCACATTAAAGTATTTAGATTTACAAAGATACAATTATAAGAAATAAATATACATTAGGAAAACTTTGTCTTTATTCCATAGAAAACAGATTCCAGTCTCTCTTGAAATTAACCTCCCATTCACAAAGGAAAATATTTTAAGAACTGTTAATATAAACATGAAAAGAATGGGAAAAGAGATTTGGTTCTTTTTTCCAAATACAAAAATTTAAAGTCATAAATACTTAAAATTTCAAAGGTTAGAAGTCATTTTTGCTCACAGAAAGTATCCATTTGTAATAAATATCTATCTCTTCTTTCAAAGATATCCTTTTATGGAGTTTATATGTTAGGAATGTGTAAGATTTTGTGATCAGACATTTAAAAAAAGAAAAGGAAAAAAAAAAACCTTCAATTTCTCTCAGTAAGATGTGACTTGAACTACAGTGACATGAAGTATATGATTTATTTTGCCTAAGTATTCTTTTTTCCTAAAATGGCAAGATACTGTTAACATTCTTGTGAGGACAAATGTCCTCAAACTGAAAAATAAGATACATGGTAGAAAAATATATACCTAAATTTCATGACTTTCTTCAATTTTTATCTCCTCTGCATTTACTATTTTCCATAATATAATAATTATATAATTCTGAAGAATCTATAGGAATCTATTTTTGGAAGTTGCTGTGTTTGGGTAACATATGAGCAGAACTGAGTTTTAAATATACATGCCCTTTTTTCCCCAGTGCCAGGGACTGAATACAGAGCCACTCACTTGCAAAGCAATTTATACCCCCAGCTCCTAGCCTCATTTTTGTATACAAAAAAGACATTTTCAGAGTTTGATTTTAGGTTGAGATCTTTTCCTTTCCTTTTTAGCATTTGGTCTCATGCAATACCATAGCAGAGAAATTGTAAGTTCTAATTGTATGCTGGTTGCCTTTTCTAATGTAAAACTCATTTTTTTTTTTTTGGGTACTGGGGCACTTGATCACTGAGCCACATCCCCAGCCCTATTTTTTGTATTTTGTTTAGAGACATGGTCTCACAGAGTTGCTTAGTGCCTCGCTTTTTGCTGAGGCTAGCTTTGAACTCACAATCCTCCTGCCTCAGCCTCCTGGGTGGCTGGGATTACAGGTGTGCCCACTATGCCCAGGTAAAACTCCTATTTTTATGGGTTGTAATTTACCATAAAACCCATTACTGGATGATTTTTTTTAAACCACAGGTTCTCTGCTATATTGTTTAAAGACCAACTTCTCTAAGTCTTTCCCATTAAAATAGTCATATGTAATGTTTTTTCCATATTGGTAACCTTGCTCTGCTTTGTGTGGGAAAAAAAAAAAGCAAATTAAAATTTATAATCTTCAGGTCTGGGATTGTAGCTCAGTGGCAGAGTGCTTGTCTTGCATGTATGAGGCACTGGGTTTGATCTTCAGCACCACATAAAAATAAATCAATAAAATAAAGGTATTGTGTCTATCTATAACTGAAAATAAATAAATAAAAAAGAAAGGACTATTTAAAAAGTTTATAATTTTCAAAAGTACAGGATTCTGAAAATGTTATTTTAATGTCTGAAAATAAGAACAGATCAGATAGGAAGGAAATGTGAGAAAATGGTGTGTACATCAAACATTTACCTAAAGAATCAATCATAAACTAGGTATCTGCATCAAAATTAAATGGAAGCCTGAAACATTATATGAATGAAACCATTAAAAAAACAACTAGGGGCTGGGGATGTGGCTCAAGTGGTAGTGCACTCACCTGGCATGCACGGGGTGCTGGGTTCGATCCTCAGCACCACATAAAAATAAAGATGTTGTGTCCACCGAAAACTAAAATATAAATATTAAAAAATTCTCTCTCTCTAGAAAAAAAAACAAACCTATTATGATCAATACAAACTGGGTGCAGTAGCCCATCCCTATAATTCCAGTGACTGAGGCTGAGGCAGGAGGATCACCAGTTCAAGGCTAGCCTTAGCAATTTTGCAAGGCCCTAAACAACTTAGCACAGTGATAAAATGCTGGATTAAATTCCCAATACCTACCCCCGCAAAACAATACATATTTGTATTTTTAAGAGCAATGATCCATATAATTTTCTTTTTTCTTTTTTGCTGTGCTCGGGAAGGAAGCCAGGGTCTTATCCATACTATGTAAGCATTTATTACTGAGCTACATCCCTAGGCCCATATAATTCCCATGCAATTGTCTTAATACTTTGCTCATTTGCTTAAACAACTGAGACTTGATCAGGAAAAAACAAATTCTGACTGAAACCAAAGGACAGGCTCTATTATCCAACTAATAATGTTTGAAAAAAAATATATATATTTACAATGATAAGAGGCAAAACGTAATTGCCGTTATTCAGTTACAGGATTTACTAAACTGAGTCATAAATACTGAAACCAACAATATTGTATTCATATTGTATACCTTTCATTTGGTCTTATTAAATATACTCATCGAATATAGTTTGATGTATTTACATACCTATATAGTCTTCTTTTATTATCTTAAAGTAGGCATCCTTGGACTACTAAAAGGCAACATTTGCTCAACTTATTATTATTATTATGCCTTTATTTAAATCTCAACATTGCCATGCTTTCGTTGATTCTAAAGTAGTTTCGTAGTTAAATAGGTATCAGTAGTCAAGTCAGAATTAGGATTTTATTTTAGCACTCTAGGGAGCATGAAATAAATGAATGGGGTAAAATATAAAAATGGTTATAAGGACTGGGGTGGTAGCTCAGTGGAGAGCACTTGCCTAGCATGTGTTAGGCACTGGGTTCGATCCTTAGCACCACATAAAAATAAATAGAAATAAAGGTATTGTGCCCATCTACAACTAAAAAATTTTAAAAAAATGATTAGATATCAAGTGAAGAAAGACTATATACAATTTCCTTTGACAAGATCAATTTCATTATAGAATAATGATTTATTAGTAAATGTGCAGATGCTTAAAAAAGAAAAAAAACATAGTTCTGATTAAGAGAATAAGTGACCTCTCAAAATGATGTGCTTACATTTATATTTTTAAGGACTATATTATAATAGAAATGGAAAAGAGGTGTAAGGATCCTCAGGAAGTAAAGCATAGAAAACATATCAAGTTCCTAAACTGGTAAACCACCTACACAATAAGCCTAGGTGATATTGCATCCACATGAAATCACAAGGACTGACACTTTACATTAAAGTGCATTTTCTTATCTTTAAAGATAAATGTAAGGGACTGTTAAAGGAAAGTCCTCATATTGAAGAGTTAAAAACACCATATTACTAGGTACATTTTAGGAAATATTCCATATCCCACTGGCCTTATAGAAGTATATAATAAAATCATCTTAATTGTTTTAATTCTTTACTTGTTGTAATTTTCATTTCTTAAATTACCTAGAGATCTGTAGTGCTCCAGTATAGCAGAGTCTTGTTTCCTACCAGGCAGCTCAAGGTTATGAAAGTCCTGTAGTAAAAGTCTTTTGCTTCCTGATGCAGTCGAAATATAATTAATAATGTGCTGGCTGACTGTTTTAGACACCATACTTAGCATGCTGACATCCTTCACTACCAAAAGAAATATATATATATATATTTATGTATAAATGGCTTAAATACAATAACATCACTCAGTACAGTCTATTAACTTATAAGTTAACTAAATAATAAAAATAATAAACCTACAAGGAAATATCTTAAAATTGTTTTAAATCCAGTTCTCAATGATTATAAACTTGTTGAGATATAACAATCAACCTACTACATTATTAAGTTAGAGGTATGCTTTAAAGAGTTTGAGCACTGAGCTTTCTCATTCTATCCCTAAGGACCTAACACTGATTAAATTTTGAAAACAAACTTAATATGAATGCTATTAACATTTTAGCAGAGCCTGAGATGATAAACTAGTTCTTAGGAAAAATTAAAATATTCTAGTGTTTTATGTAGCCTACTCATAGTAACCAATCCTCACCTGACAAATATCTTAAGATTATTTGGAATATTTCCAATGGCAAGGCTTTAAAATTTCCAAGCATTGATAAGGGCTGAGAATCTGAATCAAGGGTGTTGGAAAAATAGCTGGATCGACGATTACTACGTCTATATTTCTGATTGGGAATCAAAGTGAAACTGGTATTTATTCTAGATGCCATCTTTTTCTTATCTCATGAATTTATCCTGGTTAGAAAAACAAAGTACAAGAGACAAAGAAGAAAGGAAGTTAAGGCAAGTGCTGGACCACTGAGCCACATCCTCAGACCTGTTGTTTTTTTAAATGAAAGGTTCCACGTTTTGATAGACAATAGCTATCTTTTTACATTTACACAAATTTTACTATGATGTCTAATTTATGGAGTTTTTACAGTAGAGTCTATTTAGCATAATTTGAAAAAAAAAGTAAACCGTTTACCTCTTGATCAAATATTCTAGATAAAGAATATTAGTACGAAAAAACGCATGTCTTTAAAAGAAAAGAAAACTGCAAAATAGGGAAAAATGTGTAAAAGACTTAATGTCTCCCCCCCCCCCCCAGTATGGGGAATTTAACCAGAAGTATTCTACCTCTGAGCTAGATCCCATTCTTTTTATTTATTTATAATATTTTTTTCTTTATACATGGAAAAAATATCTTTATTTTGTTTATTTATTTTTAAGTGGTGCTGAGGATCTAACCCAGTGCCTCACATGTGCAAGGCATAGCACTTCACCACTGAGCCACAACCATAGCCCTCCTTTTTATTTTTGAGTAGCAACTTGATAACTTGCCAAGTGAGCCTTGAATTTGAGATCCTCCTGCTATCACCTGAGTAACTGGGATTACAAGTATGAGTTACCTCAATCAGTATGAGTTTTGATATATCTTTGTTTTTTTTTTTTTTGTTTTTTTTTTCTTTTCTTTTTGTGGTGCTAGGGATTGAATCCAGGGCCTTGTGCATTCAAGGCAAGCACTCTATCAACTGAGCTATATCCCCAGTCAATTGATATACATAAGAAGGAATATTATGACAGGAAAAAAAGGGAAAAAGAAAGAAAAAATATTTAAAAATTAATAAAAAAATCATAAGACACCATAGCCAGAGGAATGAGAAGTTATGCTCCATTTGTATACAATATGTCAAAATGCATTCTACTGTAAAATAAATTAATTAACCAATTTTAAAAAAACAAAATAAATCATAAGATACATTTAATACCTATCAGGGATGGTGGTATAGCTCAGTGGTAAGCACTTGCCTCGCATGTGTGAAGTCCTAGGCTTACTCCCCCCCCCAGCACCATACAAACAAAAACAAAAACAAAAAATCCCATAATATCCATCAATCTGTACTTTCCTTTTACAATCTTTATATTCTAAAAAATTGAAGCATTAGGGCTGTAGCTCAGTGGTAGAGCACTTGCCTAGCATGTGTGAGGCACTGGGTTTGATCCTCAGTACCCCATTAAAAAAATAAAGCATTAATGTAGCTTTAAAATTTTGTAGTAACACTTTTATATTTCTTTGGAAATGAGTACTGATATGTTCTTTTGTTAAAAACAATAAAAACAAACAAAAAAGAGACTTTAAGTTTAGAATTATTTAAATGTACTAGTCAAAAACAAAACAAAAAAGAAAAAAAATAAACAAAATTAATGTACTAGCTCTAACAGATTAAATAGGTGGTAATGCTATTATTAATTATGTGCAGTAAAATATATACATAAACAATGAAATTAAAGTTTTGTAAAACTAGTAAAGCTAGGATGAATAGATGAATAATAATAATTCTTCCCTTGGGTCCACTTTTTCTTTCTTTCTTAACTTTTTGAAGAGAGCCTTATGCTTGCTAGGCAAGCACTCTACCACTAAACTACATCCCCAGTCCATTGGTTCATATATATATAGAGAGATAAAACTAGAATTTAGCAATCTAAGACTCATTGTTTCTAAAGTAACAATAAGGTATTTCATCAAAGTTACAAACATGTCTGACCAAAATGCATTTTCTACTTTCTGTATAAAGTCGATAAAATCACATTGTTACTTAACCATCTTAAAAGGTAACATTTCATCTAATATCAATTCAAAACAGGGGCTGGGGTTGTAGCTCAATGGCAGATTGTCTGCCTAGAATGTGTGAGGCACTGGGTTCAATCCTTAGCACTGCATAAAAATTAAATAAAGGCATGCTGTCTATCTACAACTACACACACAAAAAAAAAAAAAAAAAAAAGAAAGAAAGAAAGAAAGAAAAAGAAACAAAAAACTAGTTATATATTTGAAAACTCAGCATATTTAGTGCTAAGTAAAAAAGCATAATCTGAACTCCTTTACAACTATACCATAAGGCTTTGCTTCAGCATTCAGTGAACATTAAATTAGTAGATGTTTTAAAATAGTCATTAAAAACTATACAAGTAACTGTCAAAACACTGACAAAATATAGGGTTTTTAATATTTTTTAAAGTTGTAGATGGATATGACACTTTTATTTCATTTATTTATTTTTATATGGTGCTGAAGATCAAACCCAGTGTCTCTCACACATGCTAGGCGAGCGCCCTACAGCTGAGCCACAACCCCAGCCCAAAATACAGGTTTTTAACAATTAAATTCACTTATAAACACTTGGTATTTACATAATTCTGGAATTTTGTACATATATGTATGTCTATATATATATACACAAAACATACATATACACATTTATTTATAACAAAAAAGTGGGATAACTATTCATACTACTTTGTACTCTGCTTTTTTCAATGAATTCTTTTTCCAAGTCAATAAATACACTTCTACAGATTTTAATGACTGCATGTAATTCCACCAAGTGGAAGAGCCCTAACTTATTTAATACACAAGATTGTTTTGAACTTTTCACAGTAGGCATTTGAAAGCATTTTCGTTGTAATAAAATATAAATCTGACCCAAGATTTGTCCTGTTTGGGCAATTGTATTAAGACTCGGGTGGTGCTTGTGGGGCTTTTCAAGGACGCACTTACCCCCAGGGTACTTTGGTGTGTCAACCACTAAGGATAAAAAAGGGGCCCGAATTATTTTGAAATTGAAGACTCTTACAATTCCTTACTTTCCTCTCATACCTGGATGTTTTTTATTTTTATTTATTTATTTTTGTTTTTTTGGGGGGATACGCAGCCTTTTTTTGAAATTCCTAAAGCTATCATTCCAAATTTTTTTCTGGTTTCTTCTCACCCTCCAGAGAACGAGATTCACAGGCCAAAATGGTGCTTAGCTGGTATTTCAATGTCCCTGTTCCATCCCAGTAATTTTGACTCTGTGTGAGGGTTTTGAAAGCCTATTGGGGAAACCTCCCCTCCCCCACCCCACCCCCGCCATTTAATAAACATCAAACAGCAAATATTGGGGATTTAACATGACCAAACCCTGTGAAGAGACCCATCCCGGATGCTCGCATATTAGCCCAAAACATCTCCAAAGAGGCAAACTGGGGTGACCTTAACAGAGAAATTGGCCAACAGGAGACTCCAATCACATGGTGATGCACCTTTTACCCCCTTCGGTCCATGAAAAGATGAAACTATTTCCACAAGAAAGTACTGGGGAGAAAACCCCTTTTTACCACAGATTTCGACAGTTTTCCGGCCAAGGAATCACAGGAAAGTGGGAGTTAGTCGTTTTGTCCCACCATCCTCAAATTTCGTAATGTTTAAAAAGAAAATATCTCCTCAGGGCTTTCCCGCGGGGAAGACCCAGGGTCCGGCTCCCGTCGGCTCCGGAGCTGCGTTCCCGCCTCCTAGGCGCCCCCGTGGCCTCAAGAACTTTTTAGAATCCTCCCAGGAGCCCCAGCGGGAGGGAAGACCCGCCCCCTCATGAATAGCAAGGACAGTGGGCTCTGTAGTGCCTGCCCCCTTCCTCATGAATAACTGAGATCCCTCCCAGGAGTCCCCGCGGGAGGGAGGCCCCGCCCCCTCATGAATAGTAAGAAGGACGCCCATGATGCCCTGCCTCATGAATAATTACTGAGGGAAAGGTACCTGGAGCCCCAGCCCAGGCCACCCTTGGGTCCTCGCTGAAGACCGAAGTGCTGGAGCTGTTACCCTCTGGGGGAGGGGAGGGTGCAAACCAAGAGCCAGTCTTGGCCAGCCACCCTTCTCCACTTTTATTTCCCTGCACTTACTTTTGAGCCATTTATTTATTTATTTTTATTCCCTCCTCTCTCACCCCAAATATGTTACAAGGTCTTTCAACAAAACTTTTGTTGGAAAAACACGTCCAAATTTTATTTTATTTTTTTTGTCGTTCTGGAACTCAGGACCTCACCCAGGCCAGGCAAGTGTTGTACCATTTAGCCGCATTCCTAGCCTTTTTTATTTTTTATCTTGAGGATTTCGCTAGGTTGACCAGCATGCCTCCGCCTTCCAAGTCGCTGGGATTACAGGCTACCATGGCCACTTAAATAAATAAATAAATAAATAAATAAATAAACCTGTTTGCCTGTCTACCTAGGATCAAAGGAAGATGAATGTCTCTAAGGCACTCTAGAATGGAGCCCAAGACAGATCTTCCTAGTTTGGCTCTCTTCCCTTGAAGATTAAATTCTCATTCATTTATTTATAGAGTCAGTAACTATTTATTGAAGCTTGCGCTGGGCCAGGCAGTGGAGTAGACCCTAAGGACACAACAGAGAACAAGACACATAAGTTTCCTGCCTTAATGGAGTTTATTAGTCTGATGGGGAAGATAGAATAAACAGACAAATAAGGTATGTACAGATGGTGAGAGTGGTGCTACAGAGAAATAAGGCAACAGAGAATAACAGATGTGCATAGAGAGGGAGCTACTTTAGATGGACTGGTTATGAAAATTCCTTTGAGTAGGTGACATTTAATTTGAGAACTAATGCAGAAGGGACTGAGGTTAGAGGGAACAGTGGGACAATTCTACACTATAGCCAACAAATAAAAATAAAATATGTAAACAAAAAAATACATCAACTGTATAAAGGTTGAGTTAAAACTTAGAAATAACTGATACTCAGTTACAAACATTAATCAACTTTGACATTGTATCATCTTTTTTTTCCTGTGGTCCTGGGGATTGAACCCAGGGCCTTGTGTACATAAGGTAAGTACTCTACCAACTGAACTATATTCCCAGTCCAATGTTGTATCTTTTCAAGCCTCCACCCCCCTTTTTTTCTCCTGTCTCAAATACATTTGTAGATCGTTGACAAGGTCTTAGCTGCTAAGCAGTGGGCCAGGAGTGCTTAATGGATACAAAGATTCTGAATGGTAAGAATTTAGAGTTATCCAAAGTTCTACGGAAAGGCATTGAAGTTTTAAACAAAGAGTGATATGATCTGAGTTACACCATTAGAAGATAGTTTTAGCATTTATGTGGAAAATGAATGAAGTTAGATGAAGTTGGAAGAGTAGAAGGCAATATCTGTTAGGTGTTTTTGCACGACCTGGAGAGATGGGCTCAAGACACATTTTGAGCATATGCTGATAACTTGCTGATGAATTGGATTATGAGGGCAGAGGGAAAAAAAAGGATATAGGGATGATTTGCAGACTTCTGACTTTAATAAGTGAATAGTAGTTGATCCCACTTACTGAGACTCACAAGTGGGGAGTTTATCTGGTGGAGAATTAAATGTTGAATTTTACATCCAGTGACTCCGGAGGCTGAGGCAGGAGGATAACATGTTCTGGGCCAGCATTGGCAAGTTAGTGAGAACCTCTCAAAATATATTTTTTTAAAAGGGGGTGTTGGTGGTGCTGGGGATATAGTTTAGTAATAGAGCACCTTTGGTTTCAGTCTCTAGTACCTCCCCATTCACATACACACAAAGAATTTAATTTTGCTGATGGTGAATTTGAGATGTTGGTGAGACATGCAAGTGGAGCTGTTAAGGAAGCAATTGAATGTACAAACCCAGAAGTTAGAGGAAAATCTCTGAGCCCAGGACATAAATTTAAGAATTTTCTGCATTGAAGGGGTATCAACATTCAGAGATTGGAAAAAGGAGGACAAGTTCTCAATAGAGATTAAAAACCAGTATCTACTGAAGTAAGTGAGAGAAAATCAGGAGATTATGGAATCACAGAACCCTCAAAGAGGGTACTTCAAGAATAGAAAGAGGTTACCTGTGCTAAGTCCTGCAAAGCTCAGTGAAGTGTCTGCTAGATGAGCACCTCAGGGGATACTGACAAGGACCTGCTGCCTGGGCACATAGAAGCCAATATGAGGTTTTTTGTTTGTTTATTTGTTTGAATTAGTTATACATGACAGCAGAATGCATCAATACTAGGTTTAAAAAAAACATTTATTTATTTATTTTTAATTTTAGGTAGACACGTTATTTTGTTTTTAATGTGGTGCTGAGAATTGAACCCAGTGCCTCATGCATGCTAGGCGAGCATTCTACCACTGAGCCACAACCCCAGCACCCCCAATACTAGGTTTTTGCAAAAAGAAAATTTTATTGCATGGAGTTCTAAGCTCAGATCTGCCTCCTCCCCGTATTAGTCGGTATCAAGTGAACCGACAGGAAGGGAGATGGCAGAAGCTGCTTATTGAGTGGATATCAGGAAGGGAAAGTTTTAGGGTTGTTTTGTAAGTACACAGATAGATGGTCAGTATGCCTCTTCACAGGCTGCGTGTTTTTTTTTCAGGGAAGGTTATAGTCTGTGTGGGGGATTTTGAGCTTTTGATGTCAAAAGGTCATTAATTAAATGGGCTGGCTTCTTTTGTATATATCCATTCTTTTTTTTTTTTTTTTTTTTTGGTGCTGGGGACTTAACCCAACCCAGGACCTTGTGCATGCAAGGAAAGCACTCTTCTTCCAACTGAGCTATATCCTCAGCCCTTTTTTTCTTTTTTTAGTACCAAGGATTGAACTCAGGAGTGCTTTATCACAGAGTTACATCCTTGGCCCTTTTTTTGTATTTTATTTAGAGACAGGGTCTCACTAAGTAGCTTAGGGCTTCATTAAGTTGCTGAGGCTGGCTTTGAACTTGAGATCCTCCTGTCTCATACTCCTGAGCCCCTGGGATTACAGGCATGCGTCACTATACCCAGCAAAGTATGTCCACTCCTGAAAAGTGGGTTTCACTCATGCTGAGAGGACTCTGGAGGCATTTCCGGACAACTTAGCTACTTTGTTATTTAAAGAATTTATGTCTGGGTGTGTAGAGGCCTTAACCCATTTCACAGATACACATTGACTTTGGCAATCCAGTTTAGGAGAAGTATACTACAGATCCCCCTGGTCATTCCTATCTCAAGAACCTACAATGACTGCCTTGCTACCCACATCAGACTCAAATCCCTCTGTCATTTCTCCATTGTCCTCTATCATTGACCTTACCCCTAGTCGACTATTCATTAATTTGTTATACTGATCCATACCTATTTTCAGCTAGGCAAGTACTCAACACAGACTAACATATATTCTGTTTTTTCTCTTTTTTGCTACTAGGGATTGACACCAGGGGGGCTTTAGCTTTACCAATGAATATACCCTCAGCTCTTTTTATTTTGAGATAGGGTCTTGCTAAATTATTGATGCTTTTGCTAAGTTGCTGAGGCTGAACTCAAACTTGCAAACCTTCTGCCTCAGCCTTCCAGGTCATTGGGATTACAGGCATGTGCCACCACACCCAACTGCCTAACTTTTATATTCTATTGCTTTCCCAGGAAACAAACCTGCCACTCCAGCAGGGGTGTGGACAGGTGTCTCAGCCTTATCCCTACTTCTTTGTGCTGAGACATCCATCAAAAACAACTTCCTAGGGCTGGAGTTGTGGCTCAGTGGTAAAGTGCTTGCCTGGCACATGTGAGGCACTGGGTTCAATCCTTAGCCCCACATAAAAATAAAGGCATTGTGTCCATCTACAACTAAAAAAAAAAAAAAAAAAAATTAAAAAAGAAGGAAAAAAGTAGCTACTCTCCTCCTTTCTTTTTTTTAAGTTTTATTTTTTAATATTTATTTTTTAGTTGTAGTTGGACACAATACCTTTATTTTATTTTATTTATTTATTTTTGGGTGGTGCTGAAAATTGAACCCAGGGCCTCGCACATGCTGGACAAGAACTCCACCACTGAGCCACAACCCCAGCGGGGCCCCACCCCCCACTTTCTTCCTTTCTACATATTCCTCCAGGACTCATTTTAAAAGTCACATCACGGAGGCTGAGGATGTTGCTCAGTGGTAGAGCGTATGCTTAGCATGCACAAGGTCCCTGGTTACATAGTGTTCGTTGTTTAATCGGTTCTGCATCATTAGATTGTTTCCTATTTAAATTAGATTTTTTCCCTATTTAAATAAGGCCTAAAATGAGCACTGTGTATATTCTTAGGATAAAATTTTGAAAGTTTATTTTAGTTTTAAGACTATATAATTTAATGGCTATCATTAAAAAAAAGGTAAAACCAGAAAATAACAAGTGTATTATGATAAGGATATGGAGAAATTGGAACCCTTGTGCACAGTTGGTGAAAATGTAAAATGGTACAAACACTGTGGAAAACAGTGTGGTAATTCCAGAAAGAAAGAAAGAAAGAAAGAAAGGAAGGAAGGAAGGAAGGAAGGAAGAAAGAATTACCGTATAATCCAGCAGTTTCACTTCAATGTATATACCCTAAAGAAGGGAAAACAGGAACTCCAACAGTTAGTTGTACACCCAAGTTCATACCAATATTATTTGTAGTAGCTAAAAAATGGAAGCCACTCATTCTCATCGACAAATGAAGAGATAAACAAAATATACTACATCTTTACAGTGGAATATATTCAGCCTTGAAAAGAAAGGAAACTCTGA